AAAAAAAAAAAAAAAAGGAGACGCACAAATCAATAGAAGAAAAAGTCCAGAATTAGGCCCACACCCATATGGACAACTGATTTTTTTAACAAGGGCGCTAAGGCAGTTCAATGGAGAAAGGACACTTTTTTCAACAAATGGTATAGGAATAATTGGACACCATATTAAAAAAATCCTCAACTCATAGCTCACACTATATAAAAATTAACATGAAATTGGTTGTAGAACTGTATATAAAATCTACAGCTGTAAACCTTTAGAAGAAAATCTTTAGTCATCAAGGAAATGTAAATTAAATCCACCATGAGATGTCACTATACATTTGTTAGAATGGCTGGAACAAGGGGAAAAAACCAAACACCTGACAGCACCAAGTGCCAACAAGTATGTGCGGTAAATTGAGATTCTCAGATTTTGCTGGTGTGAATGCAAAACGATACCGTCACTATACAAAAATTAAACATTTACTACAGCAATCACACTTTTAGGTATTTGCCAAAAAAAGTGAAGTCATATGTCCATACAGAAACCTATGCATGAATGTTTGTAGTGGCCTTATTCCCAGCTGTCTAAAACTGAGAACAGTGCTAACGTCCAGCAACTGTTGAATGGATAAACAAATTATGGTGCAGCCATACAATGGAATACTACTCAGCAGTAAAAAGGAACAGTCTCTTGATAGAGCAAGTGGCATGAGTGAATCTCAAACTCATGCTAAGATGAAAAGGCTGAACTGGAAATACAGAAGCTCCAAGAAGCTCAGCACCTTGATTCTATTATATGACATTCTGGAAAAGGCAAAATTAGAGACACAGAAAACTATAGGAACTGATAGTCAGGGGAGAGAATTGGCTATCAAGGCATCATGAAGGAAGTTTTGGGATGTTTGAAAGATTATATGCAGAGGATGCCAAAAAATGTATACACATTTTAGGAAAGGAAAAAAACTGTATTAAACTCATAAGACTCAATATATACCAATTGCAAAAGACGAATAAAGTCATGTTGAGCACCTCTTGTAGTTGCAGAAGGCAAACATGATTTGAGTATTACAAATTTAATAACAGTTTTTTCTTAAAGTGTGTGTGTATATATATATATATTTTTTTTTTTTGCACCTTCTATGTGGAGTTCATGGTAGTGGTTACATGACTGTAGCATTTGTCAAAATGTGTAAAATATTATACCTAAAAGAATGAATTTCACTGTGTATAAATTATATCACAGTGAATCTGACTTCATAAAAGAAGTTCAGACTTCTGGTTTCCACTACCATATGTTAAGGAGCTTGGAAGTTGCCATTTTGTCCTAACAACAAGTAAAAAGTTGAACAGACTGAAACTCAGCAACTCTTCCTGGATCTGAAAGAGAGGAGAGTATACAGGGCAAACTGCTGCCTCCAATATTGGAGAGACAGGAAATACAGGGAGGAGCCATGACTTACCATTTCAGAGACTGATGAGCAGAAAGGCTGTGGAAACTGGTGCCAGGATAGGAAAACTTGAACTGTGATTGATGAACGCTGCAGGCTCAGTGTGGTTAGGTGTCAGGGGGACCAATCATAGGTGTCTCCCACCCCATGATTGTGACATTTACCTCTAAGAGCTCATCTGGGCTGCCACAGAGAAATCTTCTTATGCTTTTGGCATTGTTAGGGGCAAAGGGACCATTTTGAAATATGCCAGATCATTCTGTGCTTAATGAGGCCTCCCCTTGGAGAAACTAGTCACTGGAACCCAACCTGCTGGGCTATTATTAAGGCTTAAGTGACCTATGGGAAGGGAAGTACCTAACTCAAGTCAGCTCTAGCCTTCCATGTGGGAGAAGAGAAATAGCCAACTCCCATCCACAGTCCCATTCTGTCCCACCTAAGGGGAAGGAAAAAACGAAGAAACACTTGTGGAGTTCACAGTCCAGAGGCGTGGGCCCATTAAAGGCTGATACCTAATCATTGGACCTAATCATTGCTTCCTTCCTCCACCTTCACACATTACTAAAGGCCCATTTACAGCACTTCCTTTGATCTGGTACGTAATATCAGGCTATCAAGGAAAATTACAAGGCATACTAACAAACACAATTTGAAGAGACAGAGCAAGCATCAGAACCAGCTATGGAGGGAGGATGGGTGGAGGGAGAGTAATTGGTGGGACCACACCTATAATGCATCTTATAAGGGTACATGTGAAATTTACTAAGCGTAGAATATAAATGTCTTAACAAAATAACTAAGAAAATGCTGTGAAGGCTATGTTAACCAGTTTGATGAAAATATTTCAAATTATATATAAAACCTGCACATTGTACCCCATGATTACATTAATGTACACAGCTATGATTTAATTTAAAAAAAAAACCCAGCTATGGCAGGAACATTGGAATTAGCCAGCTGGGAATTAAAAACTATGATTAATATGATATAGACACTAATGGATAAAGTAGACAGCCTGTAAGAACAGATGGGCAATGCAAGTATGAGATAGAAATCCTAAGAAAGAACCAGAAAGAAATGCTAGAGCTAGACACACTAACAGAAATAAAGGACGCCGTGGATAGGCTTAATGACTGACTGAAGAAAGAGTCTGAAGAAAGAGTCTCTGAGCTTGATGACGTCTCAGTAGAAACTTTGAAAACTGAAAAGCAAAGAGAATAAGACTGGACAAAACCACAATATCCAAGGACTCTGGGCAACCACAAAAGGTGTAACATACATGTAATGGGAGCACCAGGAGAAGAAAAAAAGGAATGGAAGAAATAGCTGAACAATTTTGACTAATAATTTTCTCAAGTTAATGTCAGACACGAAACCAAAGCTCCAAGAAGCTCAGCACCACAAAGAGTAAATGCCAAAAAAACCACACGTCTTCTCCAAACTATAGAAAGTCAAAGATAAAAAAAAAACCCTGAAAGGCTGTACATGTGTGGGGACAGAAGGCATATGAGAAATCCCTATCCCTTCCTCTCAATTTTGCTGTGAACTAAAACTCTCTAAGAAAATAGTCTTCTAAAAAAAGTTTAAAAAATTAAAGTAATTCTTTCTGACTTAGATAATTCTACTTGCATAGTGGGGATGAACTGTTAGTTTCTCCTTATCTTTGGCTAATATTTTCATAGACCTCATATGGCTACTCCACTGTTAAAACTTATTTATTTGGAACAATTTGTGTATCGATAAAGCTAATCACTGTACTATATCAAATATATACTTAAATCATTGAGTGAGGTCCTAGCGATACTAAGAAGTTTTCAAATCCAGCATTTATACTGACTTTCTCCTATGACCTATATTTTAAAGTATCCAAATTGCTTATGAGGGAATGTTTCTCTTTGTAGACTACATAATACATTAGAAGGAATAATAGAACTAAATGATCACCAGTTTGCAACTCTGTTAATTAGTGAATCTAGACAATGACTATCAGTGGTTACCATTACCACGAATGAGACAGAGGCAGATGCCATGTACTTCCTGGTGCAAATACGCACCACACCTGGATTTTCCCCCAAATTTTACTTCTAGATATGATTTTCAAGAAAATACAGGAAATGGAGATTCATGTTAATCCATAGGGATGTAATCAGTAAAATCCAAACCCTCAGAAACTCAATATTAAAACAACCCTTATCTTTAAGTGGGGAAAAGAAAAGGAGAGGGAATCTATGGATTGGAAGAGACTTGAAACACACAATGTATAAGAAGGCGATTGCAATTAATACATCTCATTTGGATCCTGATTTGAACAAAGAAAGGAAGATAAATATGAGTTAATTGAGGAGATTTGAACATTGACTAAATATAGTAGAATCTCTGTAAGTTGACCACCCAAGGGACTGTAGCAAACTGGTCAACATATGGAGGAGGTCACCATAAGGAACTAGGCCTGCTGTGCTGACACATACATGTGGTGCATGTCTGGGTTTTGAAAATTAGGTCAACTTAAGGAGGTGGTCAGTATAAGGAAATGGTCAGCTATGGAGTTCCTACTGTGTATGTTGATATAAAAGGAGTTATTTAATATTTTAGGTATGATAATTTATTTTTTTTAAGTCTTTGTTTTTTTGAGATACACAATGAACTGTTTATGGATGAAGTATTAAGACATCTAAGATTTGCTTTAATTGATACAGGGTAGGGCCAGCAAGCGAATGATATAAAGGAAATAAGATTGGCTGTAAGTTGAAGATTGTTGAGGCTGGATGAGGGATATGCAGGAATTTATGGTATAATTCTCTGTACCTTTTTATGTGCTAGAATCAAACAATTCATCCAGCAAATATTGAGTGCCTGTTATGTGCCCAGCACTGTGCTAGATGCAGGTTTTATATTGGTCAGTAAACTACCCTTGTGGGACTCCCAATCTCCAGGATGAGGGAGATGGTAATACAAATAAAGAAAGATGTCTTATTGCTTGTTCTCTTCTATGAAGGAAAGTAAGCACAGTTCAGTGATAGTTATTAGGGAAGGACCTCCTGCTAGGCTGGCTAGGGTAGGCCTCTCTGCTGTGGGGATATTTCTGCCTGGATCTGAAGGAGGAGAATAGCCAGCCATGCACAGAGACAGCAGACAGGTTCTGGGAGGGGCAGGGAGGCTGCCTAATTTGTTTAGCCACTAGTTGATTTAATATATACGTATTTTTGTTGTTGACTATCTCTTGTGTCAAAGCCAAAGCTGCATCTAAGCCTGGCACAATTTCACATGCCCTGATGGATGTCAGTAGTACCTGCCTTTTGATAAATGCTTTTTTTTTTTACCTTAGACTTTTCAAATGATTATCAGAATATAGATAAAAATAGTCTCATGTTATTGAAAAAAATAAAAACGGCAAATAAAAGGAAGTGCATCCTAGTAATCCTGGAAAATGAGAGAAATATGTCTGAGGTTTTGCTAAGATAACCACAACAAATCTGGTCCTGTAGTTACTCTTCTGGCTGTTAGAGGAAAAGGAAATACTGTTTTTTGAAGTGTTCAGATTTCTTACAAGTGAATAAAAATGTTATATTATTTAAGTGTGATATTCTCCAATGATAAATAGGAGTCAGACTTACTAAATCTTAAATAAATGAATGATTAGTACCTGGTATAAACTTCTTTTTACCAAAGCCTTTTCTTTGAGTCTGTATCAGAGTCTTCCACTATATTTACATGAGGATTTGTTTTGTTTTGTTTTCCTTTGTTCTGCTTCCTTGGACTATTTTAAAACACTGTGACTTTTTCCCAGCCCAACTATTAATACTCAGGGCAGAGGAGAGAGAGAGGGAGAGAGGGGAGAGGGGGCTGTTGCTTCTTTTTCAGAACGCGAGCATTTTCTTCTGTTCTCTTTAGGCATATTACAGATGCTGCACTTGCCATCGTGAAAGGAGAAACTGTCCCACTAGATGTCTTACAGATCAAGGTAAAACCATTTTTTCAGATTTTGGAAAAATTACCAAAGTAATACACACATACACATTAAAGAAAATGTAGCAGTTCAAATGAGATTATAATGAAAACGATCCTCTTCTTTTCCTAGCTCAAGTACAGTAGAACCTCTGTAAGTTGACCACCCAAGGGACTGTGGCAAACTGGTCAATATACAGAGGTGGTCACCATGAGGAACTAGGCCTCCTGTACACTGCGTACTGTGGTACAGTTCTGGTCTGTGAAAATCAGGTCAGCTTATGGAGGTGGTCAACTATGGAGGTTCTGCTGTGTTACTTCTACCTGTTAATTGTAGTTGTTATTACTAATTAATATGCTTGGTATCCTACTTTTAAAAAAATTGTAAAGAAATAGCATTTACCACTGTGGCCGTTTTTAAGTATAGGGTTCAGTAGTGTTAGGCATGTGGTGCTACTTTATCTCTTGACTCTTCGTTACACAGGGATACCACGTTTCACTGTGCTTCACTCTATTGCACTTCATGGATACAAATTGAAGGTTTATGGCAATGTCTGTTGGTACCATTTTCCCAACAGCACCTGCTCCCTTTCTCCCTTGGTGTTTCTTTGTCACATTTTGGCAATTCTTGTAATAGTTCAAAGTTTTTCATTATTATCATACCTGTTGTACTGATTGCGATTAGTGGTCTAATTACTGTTGTAATTATTTGGGGCACCAGAGAACAAAGTGAACTAACAAATGTTGTATGTTCTGACTGCTCCACTGACTGGCTGTTTCTCCACTTCTGTCTTTCTCTTTGGGCTTCCCTATTTCCTGAGACAGAACAATATTGAAATTAGGCCAATAATAACCCTACAATTCCTTAGAGGTGACCACCCTACAGGCTTATTATTATGAACAATAGCCTCTAATTGTTCATGTGAAAGGAAGCGTCATGTGTCTCTCACTTTACATCAAAAGCTAGACATGATTGAGCTCAGTGAGGAAGCCATGTTGAAAGTTGAGACAGGCCAAAGCCAGGCCTTTTGTGCCAACAGTTAGTCAAGTTGTGAATGCAGAGAAAAGAACTTGAAGGTAATTAAAAGTGGTACTCCAGTAAATGCATGAAAGGTAAGAGCAAAACAGCCTTCCTGCAGACATGAAGAAGGTTGTAGTGTTCTAGATAGATCAAAACCAGCCATAGCATTCATTAAGCCAAAGCCTAATCCAGAGCAAGGCCCCTGACTCAGTTCTGTGTGAGAGGTGAGGAAGCCACAGGAAAAAGTTTGAAGCTAGCAGAGGTTAGTTCATGAGATTTGGGGAATGAAGCTTTCTCCATAGCATAAAAGTGTAATAATACAGCCAGTGCTGATAATGAAGCAGCAGCAAGTTTTTCAGATCTCGCTAACATTCAGTGACGAACATGGCTATGCTAAACCGCAGATTTTCAATGGAGATATAACAGTCTTCTGTAGGAAAAAAATGTTGTCTGATATTTTCATAGCTAGACAGATATTAATGCCCAGCTTCAAACTTCAAAGGATAGGCTGACTTTCTTGTAGGGCCTATTGTTGTAGCTGGTGACTGAGTTGAAGCCAATATACATGTATCATCCTAAAAATCCTAGGTCCCGTAAGAATCTACTAAATCTGCTTGATCTGTGCTCTTGAAATAGAATAACAAAGCCTGGATAATGGCACATCTATTTATAGCAGGGATCCTCAAACTTTTTAAACACCGGGCCAGTTCACCGTCCCTCAGACTGTTGGAGGGCCAGACTACAGGCCCTGGGATGAGTCGGCTGCTAAGCAGGGCAGGCAGTGGCAGCAAAAACACCTGGCGGGCCAGATAAATGTTCTAGGTGGGCTGCAGTTTAAGGACGCCTGGTTTATAGCATGGCTACAAAATATTTTAACCTCACTGTTGAGACCTACTTCTCAGAAAAAAATTATTTCCAAGTATTATGCTCGTTGGCAATGTACTGGGTCGCTCGGGAACCCTGATTGAGAGGCACGAGGAGATTAATGTTGTTTTTATGCCTGTTAACACACATCTGTTCTGCAGCCTGTAGATCAAGTAGTTTTAGCCGTTCAAGTCTTATTAGTTAGGAACTACATTTCTAAGGCTATGGCTGTCATACATAGAGATTCCTCTGATATGGGCAAAGGAATCTTTGCCCAATCTATGGGCAAAGTTCATTGGAAACTTTTTGGAAAGGATTCACCATTCCAGATGCCATTAAGAACATTAGTGATTCGGGGGAGGAGGTCAAAATATCAGTGTTAGCAAGAGTTTAGAAGAAATTCAGTTCCATGGTAAAAGTTGCTTCTTATGGATGAGCAAAGAAAATGGTGTGGTTTCTTTTCTTTCTTTCTTTTTTTTGGATGTAGGGTCTTGCTCTGTCACTCAGGCTAGAGCCTAGAGGTGTCATCATAGCTCACTGCAACCTCCAATTCCTGGGCTCAAGCAATACTCTTGCCTTAGTCTCCTGGGCTGGGACTACAGGCATGTGCCACCACTCCTGGCTAATTTTTCTGTTTTAGGGTTGTCATAGTGTTAGTCAGTCTGGTCTCAAACTCCTAGCCTCAAGTGATCCTCCCACCAGAGCCTCCCAAAATGCTGAAATTATAGGCATGAGCTACTGCACTGGCCAGAAAGTGATCCTGTAAGATGGAATTTACTGGTACATATGCTATGAACTTTGTTGAAATGACACTGAAGGATTTACAGTATTACATCAACTTAGTTGATAAAGCAGTGGCAGGATTTGAGAGGATTAACTCCAATTTTGAAAGAATTTCTGCTGTGGGTCAAATGCTGTGAAACTGCATTGCATGCTACAGAGAAGTCTTTGATGACAGGAGGAGTCAGTTGATGAGGCAGACTTCATTGTTGTCTTATTTTAAGAAATTGCCACAACCACCACCTTGATCAGTCAGCAGCCATTATCAGTGAGGCAAGATCATCAGCCAGCAAGATCACTACTTGCCGAAAGCTCAGATTGATAATTAGTGTTTTAGTGAAGTATTGGTTTTTAGACACAGTACTATGGCACACATCACAGGCTACACTATAGTGTAAGTATAACTTTTACATGTGCCAGGAGGCCAAAAAGGCTGTGGGACTCACTTTATTGTGATATTTGCTTTACCTTCATGGTCTGGGGCCAAACCTGTAACATCTCCAAGTATAATAAGAATAAGGGATATAGTATCTCCTCCAGTGTAGGTGTATCACTGCTTTTTGTTCTTTTATTGGTTACCTTTGGTCCACAAGTAATACATATGTCTCATGTGGTTGTTGTGAATATTGAATGAGCTAATAAACTGCCTAGGATGGTGACTGATTTTCATCTTACCTATTTATACAGTGCCCATCTCTTTTTCCCATGACCTCTCAAAGATGAAACCTTTCTCTCGTCCTGTGTCTGTGGGAGGGGCTTGTCTGTCTTTGGAATTCAGGTTCTGTGGTCTTCTTAAACTCTCAGCTCTCCAATGGGTGGCTTAAAAAGAGTTAGGACTTTGTCGATGATCTGGCCTCTTCTTGTTTTTAGGATGAACAGTGTTCTTTGTAGTTTCCTACGTGCTGGGAGAAGAGAACTTCCCATTTTTCATTTGGGTTGTCTGTTTTCTTACTGATTTATAGATGAACTCACAAATTGTTTTAGAAATATATTTAAAAATATATAGTGCCCACGAAAGGACTTAGAAACAATGAAACACCTCACAGCAGCGATCATACCTGGCACCCAGAGTGTGGTCTTTGTACCACTCCCTAATAAAAGTAACCAGGATGCTGTGAGTGGCCGACTTTCAGAGGCAGGGCAAGAACAAAGTAAGGAAGAACTCAGAAGCTGATGCACACGACACAAAAGACAGCCTGATAGTGTCCTACTCACCAATTTTCGGACCACTTGAATATCAGAAAGAATAATAATGCTGGTGGATTATTGTGCCTTGAATAAAAATGAGGAATCCCTGAGTTTACAGTGATATTACAGTATTTCTAGCTTGTAATGGAGGAGTGATAGGACTAGAAATTTGTCATTTTATAATCACCAGTGTAATAATTGATTCAAGTAGAGATTGTGAGTAGATGCTAAAACCACTGGATAAAAGGTTGTTGGGAAACAAATATCCACACAGTCCCAAAGTATTTCAGATTACTCAATGACTGAAACGGGGAAAATTTACCTTTATAGTGGAGAAATCTGGCATATGCCACTTTAATCCAGTGACTAACTTAGCGTCAAATGCTGGACCTAACTGACATGCACTATCTGCCTCCTGCTGTGACGTATGGAGAAGGACACGGCATTACCTGTGTCATTTCCTGCCCCCCACACTTACTAACTGAATTTAATCATGAGAAAATAATCAGACAATTCCAGATTGTTGTATGTTCTGGAAACAACAATTAGATTCACCTCTTGAAAAAATGTCAGTGTCATAAAATCCAAAAGAAAAGGGATAGTCTGCTCAAGATTAAAGGAAACTAAAGAAATAAGTATTATAAATCCAGTACAAAGTTCGGGATCAGAAAAATAAAAGAGAATGGCGATCATAAAAGGTATTCTTGGAACAGTTAGAGACACTTTAATATGGACTGTATATTGGATAGTATATGTCAGTGTTAGATTTCTTGAGAGTGACAGTGATGTGGTTATGTCCGTGTGTTTCTTTGTTCTTAAGAAATGAATGGTCAAATATACAGCAGTGAAGGGTCACGAACTCCACAGTTTATTTGCAAATTTAACAGCTCTAGAGAACATATGTACACAGATAGTGCTAATACGGAGGAAGTGCTGGCAGTGGTGTTCATTATATTATTCTATATTTTTTTAGTTTGACCTTTTTTCCAAAATAAAAATTTGGGGGGGTAAGAAGGTCCAATATCTTGATTCTTGATCAGGATACTCTCTTAAAAAATAATTTAATTCCTAAAAATCAGATATTCTCACTTAGACAGTATTTAAGTAGGTATTCTTTCATCTAATTCTAAACTCTTTTTTTTTTTCTTGGAAAGGGTAAATTC